AAAAAAAAATATTCATCAAAGTAATTAATAGTTAACTTATATGTCTTAATTATGGTGAATCACTTTTTTCCACCAAATTGAGCATGCTTTACTTTTAATTATCAGTGAAAAGGAAAATACACTTTAAAAGTTTTATTTTTAGTAAACTTGGCTTAAAACTAGAGACAACTCCCATCCAAATTCTAATATATAAGTTGGTATGTTGAGGATGTAACTAGGTGATATACTCCTCCACTAAATAACATGTTTAGTTATGTAAATATCCTCAACTAACTAGAAAGTACTGGGTACAAAGCAACAGGTTCAAATGTAAATATAAGGAACATTTTGGATTTGATATACATACCTTAATCCTTTTAAATGTTTTTTTTAACTTTAAGAAAAGATTCAAAATATATTGCAAGTATTTCTATTTGCACTGATTATGGTGTATTTTCTTTTCAACTTCATTTACTATACTAGAAGTATTTTGTATAATTGTATGTTAATTAGACCTAAATTTCTTAATTACAAAGAGACAAAGGAGACAACTTGGACTTCTTTTTAAAGGAAACATACTAAAAAAAGAAACAATGGTTTTTGGCATTCTATTTCTAATTGGCTTATTTTCTAAATATAGTCATGCATCGATCGCTTAACGATGAGGGTAAGTTCTGAGAAATGCATTAGGTGATTTCATCATTGTGTGAACACCACAGTGTACTTACACAAACCTAGATGGTACAGCCTACTCCTTCTAGGCTACAAACCTGTACAGCAATGTTACTGTACTGAATACTGTAGGCCACTGTAACAAAATGGGAAGTATTTATGTATCTGAACATACCTAAACATAAAAAAGGTACAGTAGAAATACAGTATTATAATCTTATAGGACCATGGTTGTATAGGTGGTACATCACTGACTGAAACGTCATTATGCAGTACATGACTGCACTTTAAATTATTATTCATTTCTTAAAATGTTTACTTAAAAATGTACTCTATGTAAAAGCTACCAAAATAGATTTTAAAAGAATATCATCACAATGGGGCATTTATCAAGATAGTCTGAAATGAATCTTGATAAATGATGAGGTTTCATATATATATATA